CACGTCTTTCCATTAAATAACATAATCTCTAAAGGTTGACACGTCTTTCCATTAAATAACATAATCTCTAAAGGTTGAAGTTTAAAGGTTGACACGTCTTTCCATTAAATAACATAATCTCTAAAGGTTGAAGTTTAAAGGTTGACACGTCTTTCCATTAAATAACATAATCTCTAAATGTAGAAGTTTAAAGGTAGCCTGTTTAAGATTTTTTTTTCCTCCTTGGAGGAATAATATAAGTGTTATATATCTAAGAATTGGTAATTTAAGTACTGCAAACCTCAGCTAAACAGATCACTTTTGTCATAGTTTCAGTATTTATTTATTTATTTTTGTATTTGTGTTGACATACAAGTGTAGATGTACAGAGTATTAGTGAAAACTAAGATGGTCCCACAAATTTATATCATTCTACCAGAGTTAATATTTCAGATTTTAAGTTATGTAATCTGAAATTAGCAAGATAAGTTACTTTGTTTATTCTAAGTTTGAAAAGCATGTGATTATCTTATGGTTAACAATTTTTCTCCATCATTTTATTTTACTTTTAAAGACTTGAAATGCTCTGCTTTACCTAAATATATCTTCCTTTTGGTCACTGTCTTCAGTTGATCTCTATTTAGGATTCTTATAAAGTTTCTTGGCATATCAAAACATCAATCTATAATTAACATAACCTTGTTGAATATTGGGTAGGTTCCTTTTGGTCACTCTCTTCAGGATTCTTATAAAGTTTCTTGGCATATCAAAACATCAATCTATAATTAACATAACCTTGTTGAATATTGGGTAGGTTCCTTTTGGTCACTCTCTTCAGGATTCTTATAAAGTTTCTTGGCATATCAAAACATCAATCTGTAATTAACATAACCTTGTTGAATATTGGATAGGTTCCTTTTGGTCACTCTTCTCAGGATTCTTATAAAGTTTCTTGGCATATCAAAACATCAATCTATAATTAACATAACCTTGTTGAATATTGGGTAGGTTCCTCTTGGTCACTTTCTTCAGTTGATCTCCATTAAGGGCTCTTGTAAAGTTTCTTGGTACTTCAAAACATCAGTCTATAATTAATGTAGCTATGTTGAATGTTGTATAGGTTTCTTTTGGTCATTATCTTCAGTAATGGCTGTATTCAGGGCTCTTGTAAAGTTTCTCAGTACTTCAAAACATCAGTCTATAATTAATGTAGCTATGTTGAATGTTGTATAGGTTTCTTTTGGTCATTAACTTCAGTAATGACTGTATTCAGGGTTCTTGTAAAGTTTCTTGGCAGGTCAAAACATCAACCTATGATTAATGTAGCCATGTTGAATACTGGATAACTTTGTTTAACTGTATATAACTTTAAACCAAGGATGTAAACAGTTTTCAACATGAATGGTGGCCATATTGAACAAATAGTGACCTGTGGTGACTACAGGTTTGTGTACCCTCTGCTCTCATTGGTATATTCACCAAACATTATGCCTCTGTAATGAATAGTTTTAGTTTTATTGATGTTTGAATATGTCAGGCGACTTTATAAAAATCTGTTTATTTGTATGTTTAATTAACTTAGTAGTAGCCATGTTTAATTCTCATAGATACGGTATTTTTAATACGATAACCTTTTAAAATAGTTTTGATGATGTAACTAAATACATATCTTTGTAACAAAGTTTGAAAGTCTACATGAATATATTGGCTTTCACTTTGAATTGTTTTATTTCTGATAATAATAATAAATATGATACATTTTTATAATCTCTTCTTTTTTCTTCCATTGCAGCAATAGTTTATGCTTCGTACTGATAAGGGCAAGTTTTTGTTAACTACTAATGAACATTTTAACTAGGACAGCTATGAATAGATAGCAAGGCATTGTTAATGTTAAGATTTTTTAGAAATCCAGGTACTTTGGACTTTAAAATAAAAAGACATCTATTTGCGGGTTATGCAAACTTTTTTTTTTTATTAAGATTACATTTTATCCAAACAAAAACATATTCAGACCTAAGAAACTATGAAAAATTTCTGTCCTAATTAAGAAGTAAAAGAGTTTTTCACTGAGCCAAAATATTCAGAATTTGTAGATGACAAAAAAATAAATGTGAGCAAATTTAACAACCTTTAATTATCAAAGTCATTTTCGCGTAAAAATAATGAGGTTGGACGAGAGGTGTATAAAGATTAGCATTTTGTCATCAACATGTTTATTCTGGATTTTTTAAGCCTCAGGCACTTCCTACAACTGAATTTATCTGTCACCTGCAGACTAAGAACTTGTTAGTTCAGTGACAAGGAACAGTCATGGCTTGAAAAATAAAACTATTGTAAACCGATTTTTTTGTTTTTCATAAGCAGTACCATCTATCTTTGAGTAAAACTTCCTCTGTCATTGGGTTAGGTATATAAAGTTGTTTTATCTTTATATAAGGTTGTTTTGACATTAATTTACATGTACGTTATAATAGTTTGGAAAAACTGCTTTTTCCCATGGTTTTTTAATTGTTTGAAAAACTTTTTTTCTTTCAGTGGTTTATCATGAGGGGAAAGAATGTGTCAAAAAGATCATTATATAACAGATATGTATCATGCTGGTAATGGTGGCTGGTTACGTTGTGATGACTACACCATATCTTCCATTACTGAGATACATCTTCTTCATCCCAGTCCACCCATGGTTCCTTACCTTTTGTTTTACTGTTGTTTGGACACTGTCTAGCCAGGAATCCTGACAAGATGAGCCCGTTCATTGAAGTTACATCTTGTTAACTCTTTTCTGAGTCAATGTTTTGTTGATAGTCATTGCAAAGCCTGGATAATTCAACTTTTGAGTTGCGTATGTATATAATAAGGTATATATGTAGTGAGTACATCCCGTCAGGTACATCAACAAATCAAAATATTGTTGTGAAATCCATTCAAGATTCAGCCACGAATCCAAACTTGTAGGAATTTTAGTAGTCCATCATTAAATATACATATCTTAGTTATCCATAAAAGTCTTCATTGACAGACGGTATCACAGAAGAAGAAAACCTTTGTGTGCTCAAAAAAGATAAAAAAATATCCTTTTCTATGAGTTTTGGATGAACCGAGTATGAACTGAACTCGTAACATTTTTGTTCACTATACACATCTGAACAAACAACTCAATGCTTAAATATACACTATACACATCTGAACAAACGACTCAATGCTTAAATATACACTATACACATCTGTATATTTAAACATTGAATTGTGATTTTTTTTTAGTCTTGTGCAGATGTCAAACAGTTTTTCAGGAATCTATGTCATTTTCCTGTAAACATTAATGTGGAATGAGTTTTAACCTTGGATGCCTGAAGGGTAAAGCAGATCATATTCTAGTTTTTCTCCATTCCTGTTGTAAATGTGATTTAAATGCTCCCAACATAGTTGCTAATTAAGATCTTGTTTTTTAAAAAAGAAAAAATTGATTTAATACATTTATACATTTTCAGCTACATCACAGTGACAATTGTTACAAATATTTCCTGTGCCCATTGCTAAGCCTTTTTTTATTTATTTAAGACGGTGAAAAATAGAAAACTACATGTTAGTTTCACTTCAGTATGAACTGCATCAGAAATATTATTTAACATTTATTGGCTGTACTTAATAAAATTAATTAATTGTTTTAAATTATTCTGAGTTTCTCACTAAGAATAGAGAAGTTCTAATATATTATTACAATTTAATTCATCGAGATACACAAATAGGACTAACAATTTCTGTGGGTTTGACTTCGTATTAACTAGTTAAGTTGTTTGTTCAAGAGAGTCAGACTTATAGGAATAATACTGGTAATTTTATTCAAAGGTCAAAGGTAATGAGATGGTAGGGGGAGATTGCTTTGATGATAATGTTATTTTCTCCCTCCTCATTGATTTCTGAAGTACGTATATTTCTGTTCAGTAATTAGCAGTAACAGAAGAGTTTTGAAATGCTGAATCTTCATTGTCTTAATATGCATTTGCCCAATTATATATTATCCAAAACTCTTAACCAATAGATGTCGTCTGTGTACAAATGCGTAAAAGATGCAACAGTTTTCAGAAAATTTAATAACCACCCATAGTTTAAGAATAGGATTTGAACTTGACAACTTTGGGGAATTACTTCTGTCTTGCTTTTTGTTTTTTCAATATACAATTTATAAAATTGATCAGTGGTAAAAGATTCACGACTGTATGAAAATAACCCTTCTAAAAAATTTTTATTTATCATCTTTCTAAATTTAGTATTATGAACTTTCTATATCGAAGTCTGCCAAATTTCTGGTCACTTTACATCGGTGAGATCTTGTATTGTCGTGTATGAGATAAATCTAATTTTGTATTTTAGAAAGCACTACGGGAAAAATGTACGAAAACAGTGTACTTCAGCTTTAGCCAATATGAAGAATAAATGTAGAAATTTTAATTGAAGAGATACTGCAGCTCTGTACTTTTAAAGTAGTTGCCATTTTATTGTAATATAGTGATGAGGAATTATCCAGACAACAAGATTTGCAGTTCCTAGTACATTATTCTATTTTTTAAAGTATTCATATGGTACCTGATTATATATTATTACCATGATGACATGACCATTTTTACTTTAAATTTGTATGTGTTTGTGTGTGTGTGGACATAGGTGTTATATCATCAAGAAGCTAAATAGTAGTTAACCTAAGTGTGGATGAATGAGAAATAAGAAAGATACAATATTCTGTTATTTCATGTTGAATTAAGTTCAGACAATCCAACTTGAAAGTGTACTTTCTTAGTATCTTGCAATTTTCCAAAACAGGTTGCTACCGTATTCCTAATACTTAAGATGTTAATGCATGCTTTATTGTGAAAAAGCATAAATAACAGGTTTAACAAGAAACTACTACCAGTAGTTAAAACATTTTATAGCAATTCACTGATATGTTTAACGAGAAAATGCTACTTGTTGAAATTATTGAATTTGTAGTAAGTTGAAGAGAACTGTAAGAACACTTTCAAGTTGGATTTGTGGAATTGCATTAAAGAGAAAATAACAGAATAACGTGCCTTTCTTATTCTATATTGCATCTATATATATAAACATGGAAACAGTGACGTCTTACAACGGTTTTATCACAGTTTTATAACATCTTCCTACTACTCCGTGTGTTGTATTAAAAAGATTCCGATGTAACAAATATTGTAGTTTTTTTTATTAACTTAGTTATAATTTCCACGCGAAACTGGTCAGGTTTTTTTTAACTTAGAAAGTTGTAATAACTAATGTCCACCTCATTACCAAACAAAATAGATATCTAATCATCTAGCTTCTTAATAAGATTCAATTTTAGGAGTCAGAAGATTTTTTACAAAACTTTAATCAAAATATTCTTATCCTCTATTTCTTGTGTTATTTCCATGATTTCAAATGGAAATGTGGAAAAAAATGTGATGATCCTTAGATCCAAATTTCAAACCCTGGTTGTTTATCTACAGCTTAGGTATTTCATTTTTTTATGTTCTTAGTTTTTGTATATAGTGAAGAATATATTTTTTGGCAGTGTATACCATTCTAGTTTATGATATTCTGATAGCATCACATGCCTGGACTTCTGAGGTGGATTTATATTAAGGTTACTTAAAGTTTTCTTTGTTGTTGTTATCCTTGCACCATTTTTCCAGTTTCGTTGAAAAAGACACTATATGTGAAAATAAAGGAATATTCTTGTATCCAGCTTCTTCCACTTCGTATTTTTGCTACCATAGTGACGATTGAAGACTAGTAAACCAGACCTATCCAGCAATCAGTTATAAACTGTATAAAAAAAAAAATTCCCCTGCTGGTCATTCATGGAACATTTTAGAATAAAAATGGATTCCACCAAAGTTTCTATTTCACTCCTACCTTCTGAAGAAGGGACCATGTTGAAAAGGCACTTGAGTTAAGACTGTTAATTAAAAACCTAAAGCTTAACAAGTATGCAAGCACTAAGATAAAAGTGTCTTTTAGGAGGGTGGGATAACCTTTTTTTGAAATAGTTTCTGATAAGGTCAGCTTTTTAACCTTTTCAATAAAGTGCTTTCTGTTGTAATGTATGCTAGTAAAACTGAATTGCTTATACATGTAAATAATGATTTAAATTTGAACTGTATCAGTTCTTAAGTTCATTTAACCAGTATTTCTTGTGACCTTTAAAAAATTGTGGAACTTTTAAAATTCGTCATACTAGTTGTTTGTATCTCCACATTTGATGTATTTATTTTTTCTTAATGCACACTGTTTTGATAAACCTTATAGAGTTTTCTGATGAGATTCTATGCTTGCATGAATGTATATTCTTGTGTTTGAATTTTGTGCCCTTGGGGAAGAAACAAGCAGATCTAAATACAATATAATGACTCATTATTACTTGTAATGTTTTTTTTTTTCCTTTTTTTTTCTCAAAGTGGTTGTTTCATTTGGAAGTTTAACCACTAAGTGTGCTTGAAGGATCCATACATTTGGGAAAACTTAAGCTGAGTAGGTTTTAAAAAAAAATGCAGCTCATTAAAAATATCTTAAGAATGTTTTTTTTTTTTTTGCATGGTAATTAAGTTGTTTTGATTTACTGAACCCCATTAATGCAGATCCTTATTGTAAAGGAAATGAAATAATCAAAACAGAAAATGAATGTAATGTAGGAACTATTAGTTTCTGTGTAGACTTTCAAAAAAAAGAATTTTAAATCATAGTTTTGTTATGTAAATTGTAAGTGATTCATTCCTCCTCCAGTATTATTACAGCTTAATACACACCCTAATTTAAATAAATGTAGGTCTATTACACAGCAAACTTTATTAAGAGAATTTGGATTAGTGGGTGTGTAAGAAAGGAGGATCTCTAAGAGAGAAAGGCAATATTAAAAAAATAATCTTTTTATAAAGTACTGAAAAATAAGTTACAAGCTCGTGACCCATGATAATAATCTTTAAGTCCTCTGAATTATTTCCAGTTATTCCCTATTTAATCCTTAAATTACCGATAGGACTCCAGCAACGTTTTAAACACATTTTTCCAAACCAGTTATGCACCAAATTGCTCGTGACTCCAGAACTTTTTCGGCTACAAGATCAGTTATAAGTTGTCACAGAAATATCATCAATATTGGAAGTTAAGAGTACCTATTACTTCTGGGGTCTCCTATATAACTTTACATAGAAAATATTATTTTACCCTAATATTTTGGCCATATTTGACAATGAGTGTTTTATCAGATAGAAAATTGCTTAATAATAATAGGTCTAAAAACAAGTTGGTAATTCGAAGGTTAAAAAAAGTTTAAAATACAATGGATAAGTGCATGTTCAACAATTAAAGCACCCAGTACTGGATATGATGTTAGTTGAAACCTAACATGGCATCAACTTTTCAATACATTGCCATGACTGGAGCTACTTTATAAATAAGTTTTTTTCAAAATATTTCATTTAACCCAGCCAGGTGGTTAGGTCGCTCGACTCGCAATCTGAGGGTCGCGGGTTCGAATCCCCGTCCCACCGCCGTGGGGGCGTTATAATTGGACGGTAAAAGAGTTACCCACGAGTTGGCGGTTGGTGGTGATGACTAGCTGCCTTCCCTCTAGTCTTACACTGCTAAATTAGGGACAGTTAGCGCAGATAGCCCTCGTTTAGCTTTGCGAGAAATTGAAAACAAACAATCATTTAATCCTTAAACTTGCACTGAAGGTTTCATAAAAAAAAATAAACCTTTAACAAAGATGCTGTTACTCTAAGTTTATTTAGTCTCAATTTGTGAATTTGGAAGCAAAAAATATATATATCTGTAAATAACATTAGTTTACATTTGGCGGTATTCACTGCTTATGAATATGTCATGGTTTAAAAAATAATAATTCAGATATCTTAGTTCCTTTCGTTATTGAGAATACCCCAGATTACTTGTGCTGGTTGATATTGCAAAGATTTTGTTTTTTAGTTAAGCACAAAGGGCTATCTGTGCTCTGCCCACCACGGGTATCGAAACCCGGTTTCTAGCGTTGTAAGTCCGCAGACATGCCGCTGTGCCACTGGGGGGCGTTGATATTGCAAAGATTTTGTACAGACGATATGTGCTTGGGGAGATTTGAG